GTCAATGAAAGTTGCAATAAGGATAAAAAGGTAAAAAGAGAAAACTTAACAAGCCCTAATAAACTAGGTTACTGTTATATCTCCAACAAGGACAAAACCACGACCTCCACTATGCCCCCCCCAAAAAAAAAAAAAAAAAAGTCACGGCCACCATGAGTACTACCTCTGTTGCTATTAGAGACAATTAAGGTTGAACGATCAGTAGAAGTGCTATGATTAATACCTGAAGGAGAATGAGCATCGAACAAAATAGCACCCTTTAAGCAGGAAAAGACCTTGGGAAGGGATGGAAGGTTGGGACCACCCAAGATTTGGGTACGGATAGGTTTATACTCCGGCTTCAAATTAACAAGAAAGCAAACAACATTTGAATCCTCATGTTGTCATTGCTAAATTTGAGCATTAGTGGTGAAAAGATGGTAAATCCTCAATTCCTCACAAACTCCCTGAACTTGGGAGTAATAATCCTTTAAACGCAGAGTACCTTGGTCAAGGCGAAAATATTGCTTGCAGGCTTCATAAGCACGAGTAAAATTTTCAGTGCCAGAATACATGATTGCCAAATGATCTCAAATGTCCTTGGCAACATCGAGATAAAGTAATGTAGAATTAGTATGAAGCTCAATACTATTCAACAGTAATAAAATAATTTATGCATCCTCTTGTTTCGACTAATCAAACCCGGAGTCACTTTCCTTGGGTTTTGCTCCCACCATATATTTTTTAAGGCCTTTGCCTTTAAGAAATACTTGAACCGATCGGGACCATAAAACATAAGTAGTCCCATTGAACTTGACCGAAGTCATCGGGGCATTGAAAAGGATTGTAGAGAAAAGTGTGGGTGGCATGATGGGGGCGAGAAATGGAGTACCAGTCTTGGGCTCCATGGTAATATCATAGATGTTGAGTCAAACCAAACAAAAATAGATCACGTTGCCTGAATAGTGCGAAAGCAATCAATGGTAAGAGAGTCCGAGGTTAAATGTATAGAGAACTAGACGAGGAGGGTTGAATTGATGCCAAAGCAGCCTCTGAACTAACCTGGAATCCTCAAAAGTGGCTGGAAACAACAAAAAATGATCATTGAACGAGCCTGGAACCCTTGGAAGAAGTTGAATCAGATTGAACCGACCTAATTGGGACATGAACTGGCCTAGAACCCTCGGACGTAGCTGGAAACAATAGAATCGGCCAATGAACCGGCCTTAAAAGTACCTGAACTGGGACTATACCTGTTTAAACTAGAACTCTAGGTTTGCTTTGCTCACCTGGGCTTGAACAATGAGCTTGGAGTTGGACAGTGGGCAATTATGTAAGCTCGTGACCCAATTGGAGTTATAACCCAGTGGATCGACCCAGATCTAGTCGGGCTTCACCTTTTCCACATCAAAGGGTTCAACAGAGCCTTAGCTTATGATGATGCACAACAGACCACCATTGCAGCAACAATAACGCCACAGCAGACCACCGGCGATTACAACAACATACCTATCAAAGCCTCCGATGACATAACAATACTAGAATCGAGTAAAATAAATAAATAAATAAACTATGCCGGCAACAACAAATCACATCGGCAGTGACAATTGTACAACAACAGACCATCGATGACCATCACAACACAACCAATAAAGAGGCCAACACTTGAATCAATTAATAGCACTTGATTCGATCATAGAATCCTAGTTCCATTGCATGCGCATACAAGAAGGACAACGGTGTAACTAGAATCCATTACCACAACAACACCGATATCCAACCACAACACACAACAACTGGTGAGGCATAGGATGACAGAGACCCTAGACTATAATAGTGGCAGCAAGGTAAACGAAGAAAAGAAAAGAAGAAAGAAAGATAAGAAAGATGGGAAAGAATAAAAAGACGACACTGTCTTTAAAATTTTATATCAAATTTGGATCAAACTTGCTTTATTACCATGTTAGGCTTGGAAAATGGAGAGAGACAAAACATAATATGAGAGAGAGACAGAGAGGGGTGAAACTTGACAAAACATAATATGAGAGAGAGACATAGAGGGGTGAAACTTACCCTACCTCTCACTATCAATTGGTATTTATAGTTATCTAAAACACAAAAAATTAGTATATTCTTAAAGAGTTGTACTTATTGCAATTATAATAATAATATTCTCAACAGGGATGAATCAATATATTTGATGCTCAGGCTTATATGTGACCTTTCATCAATGGCAAGGATCAACATTTCGTTTCGGTGCATCGTTTCGGTCGTCCCGAAAACGAAAATATTTTAATGTGTTTCAAAAACATTTTGACCCGTTTCGGAAACAAAATGAAAAAAATAAAAAATTTAAGACTTATTTTTTTAAAATATTGGTTAAAATAAACCAAAATATATTGAAAATACCTTGAAACATTCTAAAATAATTGTGCAAATACATTGAAATATAACAAAATTTCAAAACATTATGGAACACCTCGAAGTATTAGACTTTCGATTCCATCACTGAATCGTTTCGGTCCTTTTGAAAACGAAAACGTTTCGACCGTTTCGAAACGATATTTTGATCCTTGATTCAGTGGTCATCACATGAATGAGCTATATAATACTAGGATATGACAGATTGTGCACTAGGGGTCATTGTGCTTTGATGCCATGTTACATGTAGAGTGGAGAAAAGTGTCCATATTACTCTATAATGTTGCACTAATTGCTTAGTAGCTTATGTTAGCAATGGGCATGGGCCGGCAGCCCAACTCCTCGTGCCCCAAAAAGAAGGCCATATCATCCCCTAGGGTGTCTCCCGAATAGTTCTAATAGATATATTTCTATGTTTATGGGATATGTATTTTTCTTTGTTTGAAGTATTAAAATGTGCCGATTCAAATAAAAATGTGAAAACTATTTGAGTAGGAAAATATTTTAAAATTTTAATAATTGTTTAGAAAATAAGAAAAATAAAAATTATGTTCCATGGGTTAGGCCCCCGAAAGTAGTTGGTCTGATAGTCGGTCCAACCCTAACCAGGCCATACCCTGTTAAATAACTATTTACTACAAAAGTTTAGTTAATCATTTAATATGGTATTAGAGTAGGAAGTTCTATGTTCGAATCCTTCCTTTACCCTAATTGTAAAAAATGTTTTCACGTGCTAAGCTCAAATTCTAGCTTGCACCTGAGGGGGCGTGTTGAAATATAAACACTCAAGTTATGTCTTCTCTAATAACTTAAGTTTTTTGAATAGATGATTGTTTAACATGATGTCAGAGCTGGAGATCCTGTGTTAGAATCTCGCCGCCAACTTAATTATTAAAAAATTATTCATGTGCTAGGTTCATCATCTAGTTTGCACGTGAGGGAGCATGTTGAAGTATACATATTAAAGTTATTCCCAGTCCAAGAGCTTACCCCCTCTTGTATAAGCTAGATTTTGGGCCTAACACTTGAAAGTCGTTTAATAATTTACGGTGGTGGCGAGATTCGAACACTGGACCTCCTATATTGATACTATGTTAAATAACCATCTACTCCAAAAGTTTAATGTATTAGAAAATATGTAATTTAAGTATTTATACTTTGACACGCCCCTTCACGTGTAGGCTAGATGTTGGGCCTAACACGTGAAAATCTTTTTAATAATTAGGGTGGCGGCGAAATTCGAACATAAGACCTCTTGTTCTGATACCATGTTAAACAACTATTTACTCCAAAAGTTTAAGATATTAGAAAAGGTAAGGCTGAAGTATTTTATACTTCGACAAGTCCTCTCACGTGCAGACTATATTTTGGCCTAACACATGGAAATCCTTTAATAATCAAGGTGGCCGCCAGATTCAAATACAAGACCTTCTGCTCTGATACCATATTAAATAACTGTCTACTCTAAAAGTTTAAGCTCTTTGAATAGATGGTTGTTTAACACCTATTCCTAACTTATGTCGAGATTGTAAGCAGTATGGTATGCAAGTATATTCTAGATGATAGTAAATATTCTTAGGAACAACCAAAATTCGAAAGAGCACTATATATTGTTATTCCTACTCCTGGCTTATATACTGTTTTTGACTCCGTTTATTCAGATGATAGAATAGTTTTATCTTGCTTCTACTGACATAATATGGAGAACCTCCGCTTCTAATATTCATCATGGAACAAAAGAACAATTTTATTACCATGTAGGTGATGGACATGACAATCCTATGTGCTTTTGACCTTTCGAAATTGATTCACCTTGTTATATGAATTTCTTGTTGCTTTGTTTCCTTAAATGGGGGTTTTGAAGGAAAGGATAAGGGAGTTGATGGTAAACCTCTGTTATGTTTTTTTCTTTTCTTTTTTTGTAGTAGTCGAAAGTGATTTTTTGGTTTGCCCATTCCACTCAAACAAAACATTTTCTCTTTCGTCTTACCTTTATCTCACGAAAAGGAGGCTTCAACTACTTTTTCCTTTTCTCTTCATCCTTTACACTTGAAACAGGAAGAGAGTCCATGATTATTCTGTTGTTCCTTTTTCCTCTTCTAATAAGGCCATTTCCCTATCCTCTGTCTTCTACTTATCCAAATGAGTTGTTGAAGTTTTTGCATGCTGGGCACATGACTATATAAATGACATCATATTTGGACTAAGTAGGATGTTGACATGTAAGCAAGGGACAAGAAGGGCTTGGACCTTAGTTTCTTTTCTATTTTCTTCAATTTTATTGGCAATTACATTGTTATACCAGGCAGTTAAGAGCAATTACATATTTGGGAAATCCTAGAGGTGGCAACTGCTTTCTTTCCACTTCGGATTTTCTCCTTCCTGTCTCTATTGTTCTTATATTAACTTAGTCTCTATTTCTCCCTTAACTTTCTGTAGTCTGTGGTTAAATCTTTCTTTATGAAGCTTGTCTCTTTTCCCTTGGTTGTGGAGGCCCACCCTGGTTCATTAGTGAGACATTATCTGCATTCTTCATTCTCTAGACCTTTCAACTTTTCCCCTGTCTCCTGCTTTTTAATCAAACTGGGATGAGTTCAGAAATGGGATGTGTGTGAGTTGTGATCTTCAGAACCTGTTGAGATCTGTTCTTTAGGATTATGTTATTAATTGATTTTAACATAACCGTTGCTTATAGTTATTATCTTTTGTTTCTATATCATTACTTTATTGTGTCCAGTGGATTTCTTTGCTATAACCATTATGATTCTATCAAGTTTTTTGATATCCTAATTTTGTTTATACTCTTAAGCTTGATTTACTTTTCCTCCTTCGAATTCTATATGATCTTCATGCAAGCTTCATATTGACTCTATCTTCGGCTTGTTTTGAAAGTGTATCTTGTTCATTGATGTCCGGTGCATTTAGCATTTTTAACTTTATATTTTTCTCTTCATTCAGGGTTCGTTTTCACTATGGCCATCCAGATATATTTGACAGGCTGTTTCACCTGACCAGAGGTGGTGTCAGCAAAGCTTCCAAAATCATCAATCTAAGCGAGGACATATTTGCAGGCATTATCACTGCCCTAGGATTTTCAACGTTTCTACTTCACCAAAATATGACTTCAGTTTTATCAAAAATCTTTTCTATTTTCCATGATGTACAGGTTTCAATTCTACACTACGTGGGGGCAATGTTACTCATCATGAGTACATACAAGTGGGAAAAGGCAGAGATGTGGGCCTTAACCAGATCTCACTTTTTGAAGCAAAGATTGCCAATGGAAACGGAGAGCAGACAATGAGTCGTGACATATATAGGCTGGGACATCGGTTTGATTTCTTCCGCATGCTGTCATGTTACTTCACTACTGTGGGATTCTATTTTAGTACCTTGGTATTATATGCATCACCACCTGTTTATTTGAGTTTGTTTATAATCTGTAAAGGTTAAGGTTATCTGAATCACTGTGGGTCTGGCTTCGCAGATAACTGTGCTTACAGTCTATGTATTTCTCTATGGTCGTCTTTATCTCGCTCTCAGTGGGCTTGAAAAAGGATTGATTACCCAGCCAGCTATTCGGAACAATAAGGCTCTTCAAGTAGCTCTTGCTTCTCAGTCTTTTGTACAAATTGGAATTTTGATGGCATTGCCTATGATGATGGAAATAGGTCTTGAAAGAGGTTTTCGTAATGCATTGAGTGATTTTGTACTGATGCAACTACAGTTGGCTCCTGTATTTTTTACGTTTTCTCTTGGAACGAGGACCCATTACTATGGAAGGACCTTGCTTCATGGGGGTGCACGATACAGAGGTACTGGTCGTGGATTTGTTGTGTTCCATGCCAAGTTTGGAGACAACTATCGGTTGTACTCCCGGAGCCATTTTGTCAAGGGAATTGAACTTATGATTCTACTTCTTGTGTACCATATATTTGGTAATTCATATAGAGGTGTAGTTCCTTATATATTGATAACTGTATCAATGTGGTTCATGGTGGGAACATGGCTTTTTGCTCCCTTCCTCTTCAATCCCTCAGGGTTTGAGTGGCAAAAGATTGTTGACGACTGGACAGATTGGAATAAGTGGATAAGCAACCGTGGAGGGATTGGTGTGCCGCCAGAAAAAAGTTGGGAATCCTGGTGGGAAAAGGAACAAGAGCATCTTCGTCATTCTGGGAAGCGGGGTATCATTGCAGAGATATTTTTGTCATTGCGGTTTTTTGTATTTCAGTATGGACTCGTCTATCACTTGTCATTGACGAAGAAAACTCAAAGCTTTCTGGTACTGGCTTGTTTGCATTTTAATTTAATCACATACCATTGAAAGTTTGAAAATATCACTGAAGTTGGGACTAAAACTGATCTTAGTTTACTTACTGTTGGCTTTTCAGGTTTATGGCATATCATGGCTTGTGATTTTTCTAATATTATTTTTAATGAAGGTCAGTTGCAAAACTCTTCACTTTAATGTACTTGCATAACGTGTTTCTGTTGCCTCAGAAAGTTCTTCTTGAGATGGATCTTTTCTTCACACAACCACTAGCAATGAGATGTCTTAATCCTGAATTACCAAACTGAGTTTTGGTTAGGTGGTGATATTTGACAGATAGAGGCAATTCACTCTTTTATGGCTTTTGTTGGAGCTTTTAGAAGGTTTTTTGCCAGAAGAGCAGACATGATGTATCAGTACCTGAAAATGCAAGACAACTACAGTTTTGTGCCCATACTTGTGTGATCATGATGATTGAAAGTTGGGGAATACGTTTACATGTCTTTTAAGAAATTTAGTTCTAAAGTGATAAAAGAATGTGTAAGAATGTATATAAGAAAATACATAATAGCTGCAATTGTTTAAACTTTAAACTGATGTCAAACTGCAAGAGACTAGAGTTTATGATTCTGAAGAAGCAATTAGAATAACAAACCAAATAGAATTTAGAATATGATACCTGCTGCATTTTTTTGTTTTCTTGTAATGAGCTGTAATTAATGTGATTTTTTCAAGTTTTATGCTTCACGTGTTCTGGTTAATCTATTTAATACCCTTTGTAGCAGCTTTTCTATTGTTGGAGTTACAATGTGAGAATCATACCTTTTTTTGTGTTTGGGAATCTTGACTGAATGTCTTTGTATGCCTGATAGCTTTTGTCTAAAATTGTGTCTACAAGAACTATGGTTGCTCTGAGCATTACCCCCAAAACTACAAATATGTTTTGGCTTGAAGCTTTAAAGATTTTACTTGCTAATCATCGTATGTGCTTTAGTGCTAATTTGGAATAAATTTGTCGAATTTTCTCAGGCTGCGTCAGTGGGTAGGCGAAGATTCAGTGCTAATTTTCAGCTTGTCTTTCGATTGATCAAGGGCCTCATCTTCCTAGCAATTGTCGCTGTTCTGATCACTTTAATTGCACTTCCCCATATGACATTTCAGGACATCATAGTTTGCATTCTTGCATTCTTGCCAACCGGATGGGGTTTGCTTCTGGTGAGTGAATTCTTGCTCATTCCCGTCACCTATCCTCTGTTTTTTCATTTGTCTCGTGGAATACCTCTGGAAAAAATGCATTGATATCGGTAGTTGCTTTTGTTGCTTTCTCAAATCGCATCCTTTTAACCCATTTCTGTGGCGGTTCTCTCTCTCTCTCTCGCTCTCTCTCTCTCTCTGTCACACACACACCCACACAGATTGCACAAGCATTGAAGCCTCTGGTTCAACGTGCTGGACTCTGGAGTTCAGTTCGGACGCTTGCACGTGGTTATGAAATAATCATGGGGTTAGTTTTATTCACCCCAGTTGCATTCTTGGCTTGGTTCCCATTCGTTTCGGAATTCCAGACACGTATGCTGTTCAACCAAGCGTTTAGCAGAGGTTTGCAGATTTCACGTATTCTAGGTGGACAAAAGAAGGATAAATCCTCCAGCAACAAAGAGTGATTACATCCCAAACAGCCAGTGCTCCAATGTAAATATTTCTATGCTGATCACTTCATCTGGAAGAATTTTCAGTAGATTATATTTCCATAGGTTTCACTCAGCTATATAGCATATTAGCATTGATATGTCGATTTGGTTGTAAAGATAGCAGAAATAGGTTGCAACATGTACACTGTTTGGGTTACCATAATTCATGTATAGTTTCATTTATTGCGAGGTGAGTCAAAATGTTAACCATATTTAGCCAGTAAAAACGGATATTAAGATTCTGATTTATATGACTGCAGTGTGTTTTTGAGAGAGAGAGAGAGATGTGTCCTGAATTCTGAGTTGAGAGAATGGTACTTACAATCGTTGAAATGAGAGAAGAACCAGATAGTAATGTACTCAGATAAACCAGGTAATAAATTTATGCAGACGGGTTATAGATAGTAATAATGTAGGATTAAGTGAACTGCTACATGTTCTCTCTCTCTCTCTCTCTCTCTCTCTCTCTCTCTCTCTGAGATAGGTAGAGAAATGGCTTCTACATCCCAAGTTGAACGCAGCCCGAGAAGTTAGTATTCTGGGTGGCAGAGACGGAGGCACGAGAGGTTAGATATTCAATGAAATAAAAAGAAGAATAACTTGTCCAATTTGTAGAGAAATATAGGCGTAAGATCAATCAAGGCAACAAAAAACACAAGATAACATCCAAATGCTTATAGGTTTTTGGGACGACGCCCACGCAAAACAAGATCGCACGCAAGTTAATTTTGATCGTCTTGAATACGAACTCTACATGTCCAACAAAGAAAAAGACGAGTGGAACAAATGGTAAAATCCTTCAACAAAAGCTGCGAAAGGAGAAGAAGAAAGTAAAGAGGCATGAGGCAGAATTAAACGACCTTGAAAAATTATTTTTTTCTATTTTTTAAATATAAAACAAACAAACCACATATATAATTTCCCCTTTATGAATTAAATATAATATTTAATTTTTAATTTGTGTACCTATGATAGTTTAATTTTGTGTACATATACGATGAATAACATGCGGATTTCCTTTAAACTGAAGTAAGACTGCTTTTCCTCCATGATCATCACCAACTGAGAGTTTTAAGGAAGAAAGATACTATCCAAGGCAGTTAAGAGATTTCCTTTAAAAGGACAGATCCATGTCCCCTTAGATGTAATTTTAAACTTAAAAAAAGTACGCTAAAAAAAGCAGGTATGCAATAAAAAAAATATAAAAAATAACAGGTACGTAATAATCGTTAATTTTGTTTACCTATACGATGAATAACATGCGGATTTTCTTCAAACTAAAGTAAGACTGCTTCTCCTCCATGATCATCACCAACTGAGAGTTTTAAGGAAGAAAGATACTATCCAAGGCAATTAAGAGGTTTCCTTTAAAAGGACAGATCCATGTCCCCTTAGATGTAATTTTAAACTTTAAAAAAGTACGCTAAAAAAAACAGGTATGCAATAAAAAAATATAAAAAATAACAGGTACGTAATAATCGTTAATTTTGTTTACCTATACGATGAATAACATGCGGATTTCCTTCAACCTGAAGTAAGACTGCTTCTCCTCCATGATCATCACCAACTGAGAGTTTTAAGGAAGAAATACTATCCAAGGCAATTAAGAGGTTTCCTTTAAAAGGATAGATCCATGTCCCCTTATATGTAATTTTAAACTTAAAAAAAGTATGCTAAAAAAAATAGGTATACAATAAAAAAATATAAAAAATAACAGGTACGTAATAATCGTTAAATTTGTGTACTTATACGATGAATAACATGTGAATTTTCTTCAAACTGAAGTAAGACTGCTTTTCCTCCATGATCAACACCAACAGAGAGTTTTAAGGAAGAAAGATACTATCCGATACAGTTAAGAGGTTTCCTTTAAAAGGACATATTCATGTCCCCTTAGATGTAATTTTAAACTTAAAAAAGGTACGCTAAAAAACACATGTATGCAATACAAAAATATAAAAAATAACAAGTACGTAATAATCGTTAGATAGATGGACGTTACGAAGAATATCAATAATCACTTTTTGAGATGTAAAAGTATTACTTATAATTTTATAGTGAAGTTTTGTTAATACAATCGCTAATCTATTTAATTTTTCTTGTGATATAGTTGAGTTTAAATAGAATTTTATTAATTTTATTTAAACAATGTTCTTTTGCAGAAGTAGTTATAAAAATTGTCATTCGGTAAATAATGAATGTATTTGAAAAAGAAATTAGACTTTTGGTATAATTTAGTATATCAATTAGAGTATTTTTTTCTTATTTGTAAAATATTTTTGAAAAATATTTAACACTAAAAACAAATCTAAAACATTAAAATTGGATAATTGCCCTCTCCACAAAATTGGTGGTTTTGTGCTTACAAAAGCAAGTGGGTCTTTTTCGGTGGCGTTAGATTTGTAAAGAAGAGTGTTTAATACAGTGACTATGAGAGAGAGAGAGAGAGAGAGAGAGAGAGAGAGAGGGGGGGGGGGGGGGGGGGGGTTGGAAGGGGCACTGAAAACAAACTGCCATGGAATGAAAAGAAATAACATAAAAAAGGATTCAAGTGAAAGGCTATGCTAATGAGAATAGCTGTTGCATTAAATCCTGTAAAGGCATATTTTTAAAATAAGGTAATGTTTCATCTTAGCACCAATTTGGTAAAACTAACAAAAAACTCCATTCTGAATACATTTTTATCCAATAGAAGACCTTTCAACATAGTAGCATAAAATAAGAACACAAAAGTAAGAAGTGGAGGCACACACCATCTGTGTGTGTCATCACACATTATCTTCTCCTTAAATCATTTTAAAGTGTTTCACGTGACCATGAGAATGGCTAGTGGGTGTATGCAAAGGGAAACTAGGATGCACCGGAAAAGTGAATTATGTAAATTAACTAGCTGATCATTTTTTTTCAAACAAGAAAAAATGCCATGACAATTTGAATAATTTATGCTGTACATCTAGATGGAGAACGGGCTTCACACCAATAGCAACAATAAAAAAAAAACCCAATTGGAAAACACTAGAATANGGGGGGGGGTGGTTAGAAGGACAGCTATCACTCAAAGACTATGGATATAGACCCGCCAGAGATGAGGACAATCTGTAAGTATTTCTCCATTTTTCCTATAAATATGAGTAAAGATCTGAACGTAGGGATGTTTAGGTATGAGAACTCTCTGCTCTCATATTTACATACTCTTACGATTTTGCTAATCTTATACAGTTGTCTGTTTAGTTATTAATTGCAATACTGACTGAGATATTTGAGGGGTTTTGCCTAGCTCAACGTCGAGATCTCTCTTATCTCATGGTAGTTTTGTAATTTGTGAACTGGATGATATTCGAAGACTAAGAATACACCTTCAACATTCTAATGATTGCTCAAAACTTATTCCGTTATGTTTTATTTTAGACACATCGATATATGAACGAGGGAGGCAAGTTGAATCGACACCTCCACATCACAAGGGAGATTACACACCTACGAGGATTGAATAATATCCCCCACGCTCTATCGTTTTGTGTGCGAATTTACGTTGTGGAAGCAATTTCGTCATAAATTTGTGTTTTCAATTTTTTGAATTTGCAAATTCAATTACATTAATTCATGGATTTGACAAAGCAAATTCATAAATTCATTTTATTGAATCCACGAATTTAGAAATTAAATTCTTAGATTAGGAACCAATTTTAATAAAAGTTCATTTTTATCCACATACTAAATACACCAATAAGATTAATTATGTCCAAAATGAACTAGTATTGAAAAAACTATTCATAAAATAAAAATTATTTTTAGAGGAGTTATATCATAAAGTATAATTTCTTGGATTAAATGGTAAAAATGAAAAAAAAAAATTACATATTTTTACCATATGAAATCAAGTTTCGATTCTTTAACTTTATAAAGAAGGATAAAAAATAAAAAAAAATTAAATTAAATATCAATTCTTTGGCAACCCTTTTAAATATAAAAAATCTTGCATTGTCACTTACCAAATCAAACGACTTCTTATTCTGGATTAAAAGGTTACTCATTTATCTAGTTTTAGCCCTTTTTTTTTTTTTCCTAATAGTTTCTATTCTTCTAATATTTTATAATGTTTTTGTGCTTGTGCTTATAATGTATTCTCACAACCTTTATGTTTTTATTATCTCTTAGACTTAAAATCTCTTGCAAAAATTCATAAAACTTCTATTTTTGAAAATTTTGACTTCTACATTACCATTGTATTAGTGTAATATTTTCTCTAATATTTCATTCTATTTTTTATTGGAAAAAATGGTCAACTAATGAACCAAAAAAGTTGGATGCTATTTTTTCATTGGATAATGCACATGGTTAAGAAGAGGGGTGGAGCCACAATAAAGTTTTAGGGCAGATATATTAGCATGTTAAATTTTTTTATTTTTTTCAATTGATCATAAAAATTCTTAAATTCACATTAACTAAAATTATATTTAATAATTTGAAAGAGTTATAAATCAATCTTTATATTTATAAAATTGTGGTAACAATCGTTCATTTATGACCTTATAATTTATTATTATATAATGACACTCATTGTCATACAATAACAAAATAATCTTATAATTTAAAAAAATTATAAAATAACGCTTAATTTATCCAAAACTTATTCGGACATGTCTGAAACGTGTCTAAAAATTAAGAATAATGTCAGTTGCAAATATTTTGGGATTTAATTGATGCAGAGTGCAGACCCAATGGTTTGTGACCATTGGATGTATAGTGGAGTTTATTAAATATGGAACTCACTATTAGATTTAATATTATAATACATTATGTTCTTAAATTAAGTGTCAATAACATTGCTCAAAAGTTAATAATCATTTAGGTATTAGTTTATCCAAATCGATATCACTAGAATACAATAATAGAGCGGAGACAATTAAATATATCTAAATTTTATTTCAAAAAAAACATATCAAATATAAAAAAAAAATGGGGGTGGACAC